ATAAAGTTGGGCACTTTATTTAGGCTGCAATATTTTATGAAATGGTTTTGTCCGAATCATTGGAAAATATTGGTGTGAATTAACATTCACATTGAAAGGATCAAGGAGAGATTTGATTAAGGTTGTTTTTCTGTCATAAGGTATCAAATCTCCAGTTAACTATAGTTATGTGATTGCTCTTAATCCTGAGTTTATTATAAATAGGTAATCAAATAGTTTTCATTCTTTGATTTACCAACGGGTGAGGTTCGATCTATTGACGGCCAATAACTCGGTATTTTGGGAGTGAGATTATTTGATTATCGGTATTTATGAGATAAACAACATGGAATTTGTAGGATATGTCCCCTTGATATGTTTCGGTACTTGGATATTAAAGACACTGGCCAGTGCACGTAATCCATTAAAGAAACTATCATAGTCAAGGGAATAAATAATTGATTGAGTTACAGAAAACTTGTCAATCAATTATAGACATTCTACAAAGGGGCGATGCATATTCATGTTATAAGTGTTGTTAATCTTGGAGTTCAAGTTCGGGCTTTTAGTGGAGTAGCACCGAATTAGATAATCATTCGTTGATTATCAGGAGCCTTGATTAATAACAGATGGTAGATCCCCAAGCTAGCTTGAGACAAGGGATGGGGTATTTTTCGGATAGATGATGACTTATGGGTTACATGATCTTGGGTTTTACGACTCAAGTTTGTATCCAAAAGAGCAAGTGGGAGATTGTTGGGTTTGCTCTTTTACTAAAGCCCAAATGGGTTATTAGTATGAGAAGAGCCCAAGGAACCTAGAGCCCAATGAGCTAGGGTTTCTTGGAATCCATATAAATAGTACCTCTTAAGTCATCAGCCTCCAAGGTCTTTTTTGTGAGAAAGAGGCAAGCTCTGAATCTAATCAGTGCCCACACACTTCCCCTTCCTCCTCGAGAGATAGTTTGGAAGATCTGCCACAGTCCAACTTCAAGAAGGTTGTTCGTGCTGCGGCGCTGAGGTGAGCTGTTCGTGAAGAGGAATCCTACAAAGGAAGATTCTACACAAGACCTGCGCACCGAGAGGTAATTGTGAAACAATGATGATTCGGTAAGCATACCAATGTACTAGGTCCTAAACCGCTTCCGCATAAATCTAAGATTTCCTTCAATACATACATACAATACATGAGAGATTAAATTAAAAAATGTGAGTGTAACGTGAAAAAAAAAATTTATGTAAAATTAAAAACAATTTCCCAAAGATATAAAGTATTAATTTTTTTATATTAGTATTAGATTCCAAATTTTAATTAAATAAGAAAACAAATTATCAAATATAAAAAATACAAGAAAATTAAACTATAAAGTACTCTAAAGTTTTCTGAAATAAATAAAAATATTATGAGATATTTTTTTGTACATTCTAACGAGGAAAAGATTATATTTATAAATTTTTTGTTTATAAATTCTTACAAACAACACTATATCTTACCGGTAAGATACTTTTGAGTGAAATTTTACCGATAAGACATTGTGTAATTTGTAAGTTTGTAAAAAAAAAAAATTTGTCAACATAACCCTCGTCTTCTAACAAAATACCAAACTATATGTAACTAGTTACATGTTTGCTTATTCAACTTTTATACAATCAAGTTGTTATTGTTTACATACATACAAGAAACCTTCGTAATACAAAACTAAAACCTTGTTTGGATACTTTCTTTTTAAGCTAAAAGCTATTTTTAAGTTAAAGTTAAAAAAAAGTTAAAAATTATTTGGAGATTAAATAAAGATTTTAGCTTAAAAGCTCAAACCTCATTTCAAAAAAAGCTTATAAGAGCTTTAAAAAAAACTACTCCTAAAAACTTTTGGGTTTTGACTACCAAAAAAAAAAAGGCTCTTTTTATTATAAAAGCTTTTGTAAAATAGCTTAAATACGTGGAGGAATCCTCCTTGATGAGCAAGTAACGTGACAATAAAGAAACGTAGTTAGGGGTTTGATTTCCCTCAATCTTCCCTTTATATTATGAATTAAAACTCTTAGTTAAACTTCTTTTTCATACACCAATTGATTCCCCTAAATTAATTAAGACTCAATCTCTTGATATCCTAATCTAATACTCTCTTTAAAGAATCCAAGTTTCCTTGTTATTCTTCAAGAAAATAAGCATTAAATCCAAGAATCATAAAAATTGCACCAACCCTATGTCTATCCCTAGAATCATGAGTTAATGATGAATTTACCAAGCCCGATTCACGTACCAACATCCCTACATTCATACACAAAACCTAGATCAATCTACAAGATCAAACTCATAGAAGGCAAGAAGAAGAAATAAATTCCTTCGATATAAAAAGAAAATTAGACATTAAAGATTATTCATAACATGAAGATTTGATTAGATTCCATCTATCATAACTATAAAGAAAACTAGCCTAACATAGTAGAAACAAGAACACAAGAAAACATAAAAGCTTCCTCAAACTCCATTGGTGTGATGATGTGGTGAATCTTCACAATTTTCAATGTAATCTTGCCTCTAACTTGTCTTCAACTCTCAAACACATGAAGAACGTGCTCCACCAATGACCAATGTGCCTTTGATGTCAATAACTGTCGAACTTCCCTTGATTCCTCAGAAAAATAGCTTAAATATGTGGAGGAATCCTCCTTTTAGGTAAAAACCACGTAATGTACCTTAATTGGGTTGCATATGGGTGCTAAAGCGCCTATATGGCATTTGATACCCAAAGAGAGTGATAAAGCTCCCTGGAGCGTACTAAAGCGCCTTGTTTTGACAACAAGAATATTGTTTCATATTTTAGGTAAAACTTGAGTTATACTTGTCTGATTGATATGATTTTGCTCTCGTTTGAAAGACTAAAGAAAGATCTACAATTTTTATGATGAACACAAAATCCAAGTCCCATCATCTTTGATACGAAACATTGGCCGGAAGATAGCTTTAGGGAGATTTTCACTAAATCATTGCTTCTCATTTATCGCTTTAAGTTCTTCTAGCTTAATTATTGCTCCAATACTCCATTTCAACTCAATTTTCTTACAAAACAAGCAAGAATCATTCACATGAGTCAATAATTCAAAGTTAATGTTTTTTAGCCAGATAACTCAAAGTTTTCATGCTTTTGATTAGATATAAAAGTGATTTTAATCCTTAAAAAATGATAAACTACGAGTTTATCAGTTGTTCTTCCAGGTCTATTATGGGGCACAACTGACCTTACAGGAAAGTGCTACCTTCAAAGTTCCAACTTCTTTCCAATGTAGCCAATTTTCGTTAGGTTCATGAGGAGGCTTTAGGGATGCGTTTTGTCTTAGAGGTGGATGATAACGAAAGGCAACACAAAGAAACACACCATTTTATGGTCGAGAGAGGGGCCTTATGTTTATGCATGTTTGTAGTTGTTTATTTATTGACCATGGAGTGGGTTTCAAGTTCAACCACTCTAGTTGCTTATTAATACTTTAATATGGGTTAAGTGTTTTTTCCCTCCATACCTCCTTGTCCCAAAATAAGGACAAAGATGCTTTTCGCATGGCACCCACTTGTGAAACTGTCATAAACTTAATCTGCTTCACCAGTGTCTCTGCCAGGAGAAGATTGTTATAGTGCACCACCTTTGCACACGCCATTAGAGTGTGCACTTGTCTGATCTTGTTCTCCTACGAGTTAACTAAGACCGATAATGGGTTTGAGTTGTTTGGAGGAGGGAGACTTGATGTTTTATATGGCTTAATTGGAATGACTTTGAGATCGTAGTCAGAAGAAGATGAATCATTGAAGGTCTAGTGTAGGGTTGGAGCCATGATGCTTAGGCTGATAAAGGTAAGTAAAAAGAGTTGTGTCCTGATTAACAACTGTAACTTTTGGTCTAGTGATAAGCGGTCAATCTAGCACTTGGCATCATTATCGAGGTCAATGGTTCGATTTCCAAGATGATACTTTTTTGAAGGTAGATGTTAGCAGATCATTAGTGAGACTAACATCCTGCCTTGGCAAGGCTTAGTGTGAGGTCAATATCTGATTAAACCATGTCATGTGGGTTGGTAAGGTTAAGTAGAAAGAGTTACGTCCTAACTAATAATTATAGCTTTTGGTCAAATGGTAAGTGTTCAATCCAACAATTTTCAACACTACCCAAACATGAACCTATATTCGTATTTTTGTCGTGCTCTTGTCAAATAAAATGTGGCTCGAAAAAATTGTATCGTGTTCGTTTTAGATTATTTAAATTAAATGATTAAATAATTATATATTTAACCCCACTTACCGTTTTTTTATACATTAATTTAAGATTATTTAAGTAATTTTCATTAAAAAAAATAACTGATTATTTGTATCGTGTCACATTGGGGCAAAACCCAAATTACCACCTTGAATTATATATATATATATGGAAATATTATATTTGCAAATTTTTTGTTTATAAATTACACTAAGTATGATCGGTTATACTTCAATCAAGAGTATATGACCTGTCATACTTAGTGTAATTTGTATAAAAAATTGTAAACGAATCATTCCTCATATATATATATATATGGGGTTGGGTGTTTGTCATTTTAAATGACATAAGTTATATCATTTTAGGAGAGATATAGACATAGAAAAACAGAAATCATGGGAGAAAGAAAGTGGATCGTTTTTTTTAATTTAAAATTCAAATTTTCTTTGTCTGTATCTCTCTTAAAATAACATAATTTTCTGTCATTTAAAATGACAAACACTTTTTCTATATATATATATATATATATATATATATATATAGACGCGCCCCCACAAGCACCTTATATCCATCATCAATATACCATATTCAACATAATGCTACTAGAAATTTTATATAACTTTCAAATTTCAATGATACACGCACCAACAATAGAGCTTTCTATTTTTAATATTCACTTTCTGTACATTTCTGTTTCTATTTTTTTTTATATGATTTTTCCATTTTACTCACAAAGGGGAAAATAGAGCAATAAATTATGCCAAACCCTGCTCTAGTGTTTCGATCTGAATAAACTGAGACCAAAAAGTTTCTTCAACTTCCTGAAGACACGAGGTTTCTTCACTGTTTTTCCGCTGGTGGTCGAAGTCAATACTTCCTTTCCTGCAAACCAATAACTCAATAAGTTAGACTAGAAGCAATGTGATGATGTCAACTGAATCAACGTGACATCTCAATCTTAAAGTAACAACATATACATAAATATTAGTGAAAATAGAATATGCATCTTATTCTTAACAGCTGAGATAATTATTCAATTTTCACCCTCAATAATAGTACTTCATACCACAGAAACAATGCTGAAGAAGCATAATTTCTTGTCACATTATCTTGCATCAAATCGCTATGTCAAGATCCTGCATCCTTAACATATTTTGAAATCATGCACCACATTTCATGAACATGATAAAATATTGTGTGTTTATTAGTAACAATATATTCATAGTGCAGTAATACAGAACAACTCCAATGCAGTTAAGTACCATTATTACCTTCAGTCACATTATCTTGGGAAGACTCATCAGAGCTCAAAAGATAACTTTTCCTTGACCAATACTCTTGATACCTCTGTCTCGCATACTCCATGTAGTCGAAGTCAATATTGTTTACATGCTCCTGGACAAGGCATTCAAATTATAAATTAGATAAAGCAATGGAGATTAAAATGTTTACTCCTATCTCTACAGTGTAAGTATAAATTATAGAGTTATAGCAGACACTATGCTGATTGGGTGAAGCTTTCCCATAGCAAAAAGTGTTTTTCTCATAGCAAAAAGTTTAGATATAAATATGCTTTAGGATCCATAAAATTATATTATTTAGAAGGATCTTATGGCTATTTAGTCATAATCTAGTGACTCTAATCACTAAAAACTAAGTTTCTGTAACCAAACTCCAGTTTAGTCATCAATCCATGTTTGTTAATAAATTCAATTCCCCCAATGTACAAATTTAATTATTTGTAATAATAAAAAAATCACTTCCCATTAAACTCCGACTATTGAGAGTGGGATGAGAGCAACAGTTTTACCCTTGCATATTTGCAAAGAGACTGTTTCCCGAATTCGAATCCATGACCTTTCAGTCACAAAGAAGCAGCTTACCACTACTCCGGCTCACCATCTTTAGGGTAAATGGTAGTAATATGACTAAAAAAATGATATTATTAAATGATCTATTTGTAGGTTCATAAGGAACTTCACAATCAGTAGAAAAAAATGTTATTATGCTTTTGAATTTTGGAAAAACATGGGTGAATGAAAACAAGTCTCTTGTCGTACTCAGTCTATGTATATAAGCTCCATAGATAGAAACCCATGGTTGCTATTTATGGAAATGGTGCACATGCATAAGGTGTATTGAATAACTTCTTCTCTTCCAGGGACTCTGCCACATCCATCCTAAAGATATAAGAAGCTTGAAGTATAGAATAACTAATGCTAAAGTGAGAAAGTGAACATACCGAAATTATTCCCCACAAGCACCATAATAGATGATTTGCAAGTGTATACTTCTCAACTTCATCAAGTAGCTGCTCCACTTCACTGTCACTAGGTTGTTCACCTGAGTTCAAGTTCAATAATATCAGGATGACACATCATAATTCAAGTGTTTAAGGTGAGGTGATTTAGGCCATGCAATTTTGTTGTTCCAATTATGAAATAGAATATCAATATTTAGAAATCGAAAGAAAAACACCAATTCCTCAACAAAATAATTTACAGGAAAAGATGAAGCTATGTTAAATAAAGCCAACACAACCATGCAATACAATCTTAAACATAGAAAAACTGAAATGTTACCTGAAGAGCTCAAATATGTCTTCACAAATCTTTGACGCTCCTCCAAATCTGTCAAAAGAAACAGCTACTATAAGTCATTTTTGTCTGAACACAAAAGGAATGAATCTGAAGAAACTCAACAAGGCACTTACCAGGATATTTACTGAAGTCAAGAATATGTGGGGTTTCCGTATGATAGTTGGCAGCCATCTCAGAGAAGTGGTTTGCTATATCATATACCACAGGATTATAACTTGAATATTCATAATCCTGTTACAAAAACACAGCATCAAAATCATAATTGCTGAATTGTAGCACCTCAAAGGTGTCAGCAACAAAATTATAATTTAATTAACTAGCATAAAGAGAAACTCACTATCATGGTCACAGAATTGGTCTCTTCATTAAGCATTATGTTACCATATTGTAAATCATTGTGGCAAAACCCTATGCGTTGGTGAGTGCCTGATAGTTCCTTTTCCAAAATAGAGATTTCCTTGTCCATTGTGTCCAAATGAAATTTTTGAACTTCTTCGGGAGAAGCTAAGCGCTTGGCCTCAATAAGCCAATTTCTGAAGCATTAAAATAAAGTTATTTCAGAAATGATAAAACTGTACTAATAACTACATTCTCATTTGTCGCACAAACAAATTCTTCTTTGTCATAATTTTTCTGACAGCACATACCGCAATCTATCCCAAAGGTTCACATTCTTTGGACCAGGCATGTCAAGATCATGGAACTCCTTCATTTTGGCAGCTACAAGAGCAGAAATAGATGGATCACGCAGATCCGACGCTGATAATGTCTGATAAATCCACAAAAGTATATAAGCTTATCAGTTAGTAGATGGGATAGTACCAAATCAACAATAAAACAATGACTAAATTTTACAGATAATATCAGTTGTATACTGCATTCATTCCACTATTTCAGTTTCATCAACAAGGATTGTAGCATGCACATGCCCATTTATCTAGGCTTAAATTTTTATTAGAAGAATGACACGGCAAATATCGAACTCTAGATCACTTGATTATAGAGGCTCATGCTATATCATAAACAAACTCTTCTTGTAGGTAAAGACACATGAATGATTTTATATTATATCTCTTAACATTAAAAGTTATGAAGAATTAAGATGAATAATGAAAAGTAAAGATCAAATTACCCGTGCTCGGATGAATTCTTCAATGCGACCATTTGCAAACCTTCGTAGCAAACGAGGTCCCTGTCCATTCTTTGAAATGAATTCAAATGTTCGGACCTCACCCTCCCTATCAAAGAAAATGTCTGTGCCCTCACCATAAAGTCTAACTAGAACCTTTCGTGATGATTCCCCTGCTATTGTTTGCCATTTTATCTGGAATACCTCGTTTGTCATTGCCCCCTTAAGAGGGATCACCTGCAATGCATTTGCATCTAGTACATTCTCCCACTTACTGGCCAATGATTTCAATATCTCCTTTACTTCACCTGGAATACAATCAACCTTGTCTGCATCATTTTCCAAAGCATCTGCATCATTCTTTACAGGATTCTCTATAGCTTCTGCTTTGTCTTTTAGAGGGGTTTCTGCATCACCAGCTTTGATATTATCAGCATATTCTTCACCACCAACTCTGTCATTTATAGGATCTTGAGCTGCACCCATTGCAAAACTCTCCAAAAGTATTGGCAAGAATTTACTGAAAATATCAAGTTCCTTATATTTTTAAACTTTCAAACCTGGGAAAAGCAAAGATAATTCCCCAAACAAAAAAGATTAGTTATACAAGCCATTCAAATCATAAAAATGAGATAAAATCAGAGATGATTCAGAATTGAAATTGGTTAACAATATGCATATTCTCTTGTTCATATTCTGTTTGGTAAAAGTGCATGGATTGTGTCACACGTAAGGCAAGGTGCTCCATAATTAGTAGATGCCTATTGCCTACAAATGAAGAATTAATAGCATGAATCTAACCTAGAACTATTATACAGATGCAGCCAGATACAATCGAGCTAAGTTTTATTTGCAAAATATGTCTAAAAGATAATAGAAAAAGCCCAGATTGTATAATGGCCTATAAAACAAGGGAAATCATTTTCTAATACAGCGAGAGATAGTTTTCTCATTCCGAAATATCGAAATTCGTACTATCATTTTGTTTTTTTAATAAATGATGGCCCGTTATTTGTTGTGTCTACGGCATATAAGAAATGTTACCTCATACGAGATAAGAAAAAAGAAGCCCATTGTTATCAAAAAAAAAAAAAAAAAAAAACACCCATAAAACAATATAACAAAAAATGAAAATTGATAGGGATAAATAAACTCAAATCAAAATAATTTCTTTCCAACTAATTTATCTGCATCCTAACAATTTCCTATTGAACATAACCTGCACTCTCTCGTAGCTCCATTTCATCATTTTCTTTTCCAGCGATTACAATGAAACAAATTATTTTCCTCATTGTTGCATTGATTACAAAAGTTAAATTAATATGAGGGTTTCCTATATATACTTTTTTAAAATATTTAAATAATAATTCTGAAAACTTCAAATTAGATCTCTATTATGAATTTTTTGAAACTTTGGAGGAATTCAATTAATTTTTTTTTTGAAATTATATGTAACCAATTACAAACTTTTTTTTTTTTCACAATTTCATCATTTTCTTTCACTATTTTCTTCCCATCCAAAGAAAACAAGCCTTTGTATCTCAAAAAGCCATAAAAAGAGTGGAATTCTCGCGAGGCAGGAATGAATGTAAACAAACACACCAACCTCAAAAGGAACAGTGTGTGAGGACAGCGATAGGGTAGGTGGCCGGCGACAGGTGACCTCGCCGCCGGGAAAGAGAGAAATGGTGAGCACAAAGATCCTTTGGTATTGAAAGAAATGAGGGAATGGGTTTATATAAGGGGTTCTTCCACCACCAACAGCAAGATGCCAAAAGTAGGGTGGAGGTGAAGGGAGGGAACAATTTTTACAAGATTGCTTTTGAATTTTGTACACAAGAGAGATATGGTCAAAATTAGAGGTTACTAAAACTGATTTAAGATTAATTTGAGCAATGCTTCTAAAAATAGATTTATTCGAGTTCACTTCACGATTTCGTTGACAGGTTCTTCTTTTTTACTTTAATATTTAATATAAGTTGAGTGTTTTTTTTTTTTTAACCATATTTACATAGTACCAGTAATATATTAAAGGTTTTTATAAGAGTTATGTTGTAGAAAAAATGATTGTGTTATGCTATAGAGATTCGTTTTGCGTAGTTTTTTTTTTCTTCTTCAAAACATGTGGTTCCCACAAAATATTGCGTGTGTAGGAAACTTTTTGTGGTTATGTTAAATAACGAAAGCAAACCCCATAATGAGAAAAGTGTGTATCATGTTAAATAATGTAAAGTTGTGTCATTTTAAGTGAGAGAAAGAGATAGATAAAGAAGGAGAAAGAATGGATTGAAAAATACAAAAGATATGAGTCTCACTTCTTTGTGAAAGTGAAATAATATAAGTTATGTCATTTAAAAGAAAAAATATTTTTCCCATAAATAATTGTATTAAAAACTTAACAAGTTAGCAGGAGGGAGACACGGCGGCAAGTTGCCCTTTCAATGAGTATGAGTATATTGAAGTAGATTTTAGAAAAACTCGTGTCATAATTTCGTTTGTTAAAAAGGACATATAATATGGTGTATTGGGGGGATTAGTTTCATAATCAACTCAAAAAGCTAATAACTGGGTGAAGAATAAAAATATAGTCATATTAGGGAATCACTCTCTCGTAAATTAGAGGTTGGATAGAGATGTTTATAATGTAAATTGGAGATTGTTGCCTCTTAAGCATCACGTGAATTATCCAATCACAATCCACTCTTTGTCAAACTCTGTCCGTCTTAGTATGTTACAATATATATATATATATATATATATATATATATGGGGTAGGATATTCTAACAATTGATTAGGGTTATTACCTGTTCTATTTTAGAGATAGAGGTGTCTAGCCCAATGGATTAGTATATTGTTATTGGATCTAGGTACCCTCTTCAAGGTATCTATAGATGAGATATCTTGAGTCAAGCAGATCACTGTGCACAGAGGAACTATAAACAATTTTGCCAAAGAGTATATGTGTGCGCACAGTGACAACATAACAGTAAGAGAGAGAGAGTGTAATGTACTTGAAGGTTTTACCTTTTATTTATCGAGTTTACCTGTAGGTAGTGGACTCTGGACCTTTAGTGCTTCCGATGATGACCCAAGTCCATATGTTAAGCTGTCGTATTATGATTGATATCTTTGATGGATATCCTTCCATATTTATATGTGATTTGTATCATGGATTGTCCCTTGTTGGGCTTGTCAATTATTGGGCCTCATATATGGGTTCATAACAGTTGCCCCTCAGCCAGGCAGTTCGGGTGTCGGACTGTTGAGGTGAAATATTTGCATTTGTCTAGGTTCCTTCAGAGAATGCTCGGGTTCTTATGATTTCTTTGTGTATATATTCTGGCTTTCAAAATTTCTGAATTTATGTACTAAGGGACAATATCTCATTGCCTCTATCTCAGCAAGGTGAGTAATCAGCATGCCGAGTTATTATTCCTATTGCTCCAAACCAAGTTATTAAGCATCCATGAAGGATAGCAACTAGAACCCGGCTGAGTTGTCTACCAGCTGGTCTATGTTGGGCTTCGAATAAGAGCCTTTTGGACATACCTTATTGAGGTCTGTATAGTCTGTGCATACCCTCTATTTCCCACTGGTCTTCTTCACCATGACGACATTAGCAAGCCAGGTTGTGTATTGGATTTCTCTTATGAACCCGGCATCGAGTAATTCTTTGACATGTTCTTCCAAGACCTGTTTTCTTTCTGGCCACAGTTTTCTTTTCTTTTGTGCGACTGGTGTTGATCCGAGATATATTGCCAACTTGTGGCAGCAAAACTTGGGATCAATGCCTGGGATCTCGGATGATTTCCACGCCAAGAAATCCTTGTTGTTCTTGAGGAACTCAATCAACTCCGCCTTAATGATGGTTCGCTCACTATAAGTGAATAAAGATCCATTATACTTAAAGAAGCTAACGAGAGAATTAGGACCCTAAGTTCCTTATCTTAATCGTCATAGGAGCATTATTATACCTTGCAAATTACAACAGGCTATATATTGCATTTGCAGTAAATATTTTAGCTAGACATAGTGTTACCTCTACCCTAAGACATTGGAATGACATTAATTATATTTTCGTTATCTTTAAGATTATGTTAATCTTGGTTAGTTCTATCTAGGATACATATTTTACATTAAAATAATATTTTGATGCGAGATATATCTTATGATCACAAATTAGATATGCATCCCATTGTGAAAGCATTACAATGTCATTGAAGGCTATAAAAGCATAGCCTAGTTGCTACTTCCTTAAATCACTTTTAGACTATTTTATTACAGTAAACTTGTTGAGAATGGTTTTAAACAACACTTTAACATTTCATGTGGTTTACTCACAATTTATAATGCTTCCACCATTCTTTTCAGGGACAATGCAACTTGTATTACATAGATAAACTATGGATATGTTAAGATTGAAAGGACTACATATTTCACAAAAATTCTTTTACACGTATGAACTCCGAGAAAAAGGTCAAATAAATATCCATCAAGTTCGATCTAGTGACAATTTTACAAATTTATTCATTAAATCCATATCAATTTCCACATTTGAGAAATTGGTATATATATGGAATAGGTATGCGTAAACTTAGTAGATTACTTTCATAAGGGGAAGCAAACTAACTATGACCATCCCTGGAGGATGAAGACCTGAAGGTTTTATAACTGTTCTCTTTTTCCTTTTACCAAGTTTTTTTTACCCAAAGGGTTTTTCTTGGTCAAAGATTTTTAATAAGACAGTTTGTGTAATGTTTAGCGTATGTCATGTACTTTTTTTCCTTCGCTGATTTTTTTCCATTGGGTTTAGCACATGTCATGAACTCGCAGAGGCAGTGATATCGAAGGGCAAGTGTTGTAAATGGACGTTATCAATCTAATTGAATGGACATTAGTATAATTTATTTTGGGAAAAGATTATTAGATAGCCATTATGAAAAATTGTAATTATTGCTTCACTTTCTTAGCTTCAAGTGTAGCTATATAGCTCAATTAAGGGGGAGTTATACACATTGCACTATTTTTTTCTTTACCAAGTCTTTATCCACTAAATTTTTCTTGAAAAGGTTTTTATTGAGACAATCAAATTTAACATATAATAAAAGATGAGAATATTGTTTTTTATGTTGCATGAGACAAATTGTTTCATGCAACATACAAAAAATTGAGTGAGATCCATTTGTTTTCTTTCTATCTCTTCTCTTTAGTGGGCTCCACTTATTTTTTTATGTGTTGCATGAAACAAATTATCTCATGCAACATGAGAAACAATATCCCCATAAAAGATAGTATATTAACTATGAATATTATACTCTTTTTTCTTAGCAAGATTTTAACGAGGTATATTAATATTATAAATTCATTCAAGAAGGAGTGTTTTAAAATATCTATTTTATATATGTGGATGACCTTTGACTATTTATATGCCTATGATGCGTAGATGATAACCTTTGATATATAATATAATTATTACATTAATAATGTATTAGAATGTAAACACTCTCCTCTTCATATTTAGGGTCTTAGATAAAGACACCACTTGTATAAAAATGTGATGGCTAGTGATTTAGAATTTGATGATATTCACCTACTTTCCAAATGTTTATACCTTGATCTTCGTGCATTTTATCTCTTAATTTATCTGGTCCAACGCTTTAATGATAATGCTATAAAGTGCACAGGGATTGCTTGCGATAATCTCTTCCATAGAACTTCTTGGAGGGTGACACACCTGTCCTTTTCAGGAATAAATTTTTGATACTTTTGTTATCAAAGATTCAGTATATTTCACCAATAAAAATATTATATGTTAATTAAAATTCTGTTTTTTCTGTCAGGTTTTTTTTCTCTTCTGACATGTAATGTTCTCATTGATAAAATACACTGAAATCTAAATATAGCAAGTAATACCAATACTGAAAGACATGCTTGTTAAAGTTTTTAAACATATTTATAATCTGATAAAGTATAATAAAGAGACTCATTTAAAATTCAATTATTATATGATTTTAATCAAATATAAATATATGATTTATAATTCTATACATAATTTTTTCTTATAGAGTATCCACCACAGATGTGAACCCAAGGAAAACTCATAAACCAAAATGGACAGAGTGTACTGAAGAATTTGAAACCACATACTTTTACGGCACGTCTCGTAACTTTACTAATAAAGCTGTCACACGAGGACTTATTCAACAAATATATTTATTATTAAAACTTACAAGATTAACATTAAAAGAAAAAGAATTTATGAAGATGCAAGAGAATAGCATTTTCAAGACATTTTACCAAGACATTTTCAAATATTTCTAATTCAATACTTTATACTCAGAACGGTAGTTTTTAATCCAAACTACGAAAATCAACACATGATTACTAAGGTGGCTGAATTTCCATGCAACAGCACATTGAACATTACACAGGGAATCTACTTAACTGCTATTACTAAACACATTAACTATAAAACTGAGCCCAAAGTAAACTCTTCATGTAATAAAAAAAAAAAAAAGAAGATTAATAATTAATTTAGTGTTGTTGAATGAACTCTTTGACCTTAGCAATAAGAGCATCAGTTTCAGCACCAGTATTTGGGTCCATATCCACTGCAATTTTGTTCAGATAAAAACTGTGTGTCATTCCTTTGCTTACAAACAATTCAACATCCTTGTTGGCCTTCTTCATGGCTTCATAGTACTCTGTTTGTATGTCAATGACCAAGTCCATCTCCGCCACGCACAGAAGATACGGCGGCAGTTTCAGCCCTTTGAGTGGCGGAGCGCCGTCGCCCATGGGGCATGTTATTGGGTGGTCCTTGTTTGCACCCAATGGCAATGCCAAGCTCAAGAATTTGTCCAGCATGTCTAAGGTGAAAAATGGTGACTCTGGTTTTTCTAATTCAGATTTGCTCCGGCTCGACCGGACAAATCCTGGGTGAACCGGGATTCCTCCAGCAAGCTGAACCGGATCGAGATTTGCTTTCCCGGCCCGGGCTGCCACTTCATGTACAATGTTTCCACCGGAGCTATCTCCGGTGAGAAAAACCCGATTAAATTCACCGTGGTTTTGAAGCCACGGCTCCTCCGCGTCTCCTCTGGCTATTAATTGTAACCAGAGAAGCGTGGAGAAGCCGTCGTCGATAGCGGCGGGAAGACGGTTTTCCGGTGCGTGGCGGAGGAAAGGGGAGACAATGATGACTCGAGCTGACCGAGCTAACCGGGTGTAGAATTGATAGTACATGAACCAGTCCGCTTCGCTTATGCAGAACCCACCGCCGTGGAATTGAACGAGTATGGGTAGTTTTTCTTTGTCTCCGGGGATTTTCTCCGGCAGGTAAAGCCGGACACGGTGGTTACCGGCGGTGATGACATCACGGGTGGCAACTCCGTCGATGAAATCTTCATGAGGAGGTAGCGGTTCGACCAGGAACTTAACTTCTGGTGGACCGGTCCATGTGCGGTCTACTGAACCGTCGTCGTAGAGACTAAGCCAACCGGACACCTCGTCAATAAGGTTCTTTTGTTGGACCATGGTTTCGGGGATTGATATGTTGCTAACAAGAGTGTTATTATCAGAGAGTGAGGGTTTAAGTTCATTTAATGCACTTGGCGTTGGTCTGTATGACTGTATGTATATATAAGGAACGGTGGCTTTATTTTTATTTTTATTTTTTTAAGTGTTCAAAAAAGAAGGAAGCTTCCGAGAAATTTGTAATGTGAAAGCTGATACATAAGATTCTTTTTTAATTTTAAAGAGACCAAAATATGACCTATTTTATGGGATAAGATATTATATTTATTGATTTTTTTTTTTAGGTAAATATATATATATATATATATATAATATCATAATCTTATTATTCATTAATACTCTGAGATCATAATCTTAAAAGAAAAGAAAAAAGATAAAAATTAATTAAGATTTCGATTTAATTATACTATAAAGAAATAAATAAGATAGACATAAAAATGAATAAATATAATATCATATTTTTTATTTATTTTTTTGAGTTAACTCAAACTTAATTACTTTTTTGAGTCAACTATAAGATTAATTTAGAGTGCAGAACGGGTCATAGATATAGATATCAATTTTTTATTTTGTCTGTCGCTTTTAAAAAGATTTAGCACATTGTGAATAAATGAAGGGATTTATTACTCTTATGTTGCATAAAATATAATCTATCTCCTACACACACAAACTCAAAATGGGTCCCACTTTACTTTTTCTCTCTCTTCCCCTAAAAATGGACCCCACTTGCACCAATGAGTGTGTAGGAGATAATACATATCTTCTACAACATAAGAAAACTATTACCCATAAATGAATGATGATGAATTTGAGTGATGTAAACAAAGAGAGACCCACTTATGTACCATCCTTGCAATTTCCATTGAAACAACCTAATATTTGGACTGAGCTAGCCGCATTGTTTTTCTACATGTGTTAGTGGTGCTGCTTTTGCGGTGTAGGAGATAACTACCATTCAAGGAACTTTTTTCTGTCTTTCTGTTTGCGAACTGTTTTAGATAAATGTTTAACAAAAGAAGAAGAAAAAAACTTGGAAGTGAATGAAATAGGCCCTACATATATCAAAAATCAATGGTTTTATTGGAAGACGAAAAATACATCAATTAAGAAAGAAAGTCATCTCATCATGGAGCAAAAATATGAGTTGGGCAAAAGACATCACAACAATTATCCATCGTGTTTGACTTTAAGAGGTGATTATTATTATTATTATTATACTGTTCCTGTTGGGTGGATTTCAGTGCGTACATGCATTTAGAAACCTTGCAAAATTGGAAGATAACGGATGGTAAACCTCGCAGAAAGTCTTTAACAATTGGCCAATCTTCTTTCAAACAAAACTGCTTAAATTCAAACTTCTAAATTAAATCAACGTCTAAGGAAGGAGCCACTCAATTCAGCCATAAGAAAACTACGACAATCGACAACCGAAAAATAAAGGGACGAATTATCTATTAGTCCTGTCCCCAGTTACACCCGGAGCCATTATCCTTGCATTTTCTAAAGCTTTATTTTAGTCAAATGAAAAGGACATTTGAGGGTTTGTGTGTACCAAAAAAAAAAAAATACTATAAAGAACCGATTCAATTAGAAAAAAATATAAACAATTATCTTGTACTTATTTAATTCCACTAAAAAGTGGGGATAGTAAAGATCGAATTCGTAATCTTGTGATCACTAATTCTCTGATATCATGTAAAGAACTGATTTAACTCAAAAATTTAAATTATTGGATGAGTATCTTTTTATTGATTTATATTATTTTGTAACGATGTTGGGCTTCCTCCTTCAATGCCAAGCTCAAACCCATTGAGTAGTTTTCTTAAAAACCCTAACCCTAGATCTCACCTCCTCTATATATTCATTAGTTGTGGGTGGAGGCTAGGTTAATAGATTAGAGAGAAAATTTGAGAGATAATTATTTGATTGTTTGAGCAAAGCTTCATGCTTTTGCATTTGAAAGATCTTTAGATAGAGTTTGAGTGAAACATCTCTAGGGTAATTTGATTATCACCGTTGTTGGAGAGATTGAGTTAACCACCACATTGGTGATTCTGATTGTAACCATTATTTTCATAGTGGATTTCTGATCTGGACTAGGTCCCGTGGGTTTTTACTTCTTCAATGAAGAAGATTTTTTCACGTTAAATCTGGTTGTGTTTTTCTTCTTTCCTGTTTTCGTTTAGTTTTTCCGCTGCGCTGCCCGACCTGGTGAAGTTGAGGCCGAAGTATTGCCGAGATCCGAAATCAGAATCTTGTTGATTGACTTCCGCACAAAATCTCCTGAGACGATATGAGGGAACCGAGTTCCCAACAAAGGAGAAAAGTGACTAATAATTCGGTAACATACCCTACTTGTCATTGCACGTACGGGACACGTTGTCTATCAATTTTTTTTCTAAAGACGTCACCCGAATACTTGTAGCACACTAATTGGAATTTTTTCTAATTAATGACCTTTAAACAAGGATAGATACTAATTAACTACTAGAGGTCGAGGATAATATATATAAACTATCAAAGCAAGAGCCAACTACTTCTTTTCTAACCATAAACAATATTGGGTTAGTTGTTGCAAAATTCGTAGAATACCAAAATTCCAGCAACAACTAAATAAAAACTGAACTTCTCTTAAACTAAAAACATAGAAAAGATTCTCCTGATTAAGTTCAAGTAGGGTGTCTAAGACATTAAAAGTTCCTATAGAAACAATATTAACATAAATATTTGTTTCGACCACTAACTTCGAGTGTCTCCTCTAATTTTTGTCTTGATAATTATAATATATATAGTTTATTGCTCCACTGTCTAACCACCGAGAATTTATAGAAGTATATACCCAGAGATTAGACTAAAATTCCGGACAGCCACGTACTGGCTTTAATTAAACTTAAAGCTAGTCCAGAATTTTATGACATCATTGTTGTAATTCCATAAAATTGTCAATCATTGGAGTTATTGGTTTAGTAGTATTCCCGTTAAATTTAAGAATTTGATATATTTAAAGGATAATGGGTTAGATTCTTAAGAATTTTTGAAAAGGATATAAAAATTTAAGGCTTTCCTGTTTCTCATTTTAAATGACATAAGTTATGTCATTTTAGGAGAGGGATAGACACAGAAAATGAAAATAATGAGAGAAAGTGAGTGGCTTTTTTTTAATTTAAAATTTAAATAAAAAAATTTATTTTGTGTCTATATCTCTCTTAAAATAACATAACTTTATATCATTTAAAATGACATAACTTTATGTCATTTAAAATAATAAACACTTTTCTCAAAGTTTAAACCCAAAATTGGATTAACTAGATCCATTAATACTTCAAATACCGATTTACATATATATATATATATATATATATATATATTGGGTACAGGATTATTTTATATAGTGTAAATTACACTCTTAATTTTTGTCATTTATCTTATTTTTATATATTTGTTCTGATTTATTAAATATGTAAATATATGCAAATAAATCAATACCCAAGATTTGGTGTAAAATTTCTTATTATTACATCTATATAAAAATAATTTGTCTTATATATATATATATATAAGTTTAATGTCTCTCATATTATAGTAGATAATTTTATTTTCTATACATGTAAAAAAATGTCTCTCTATTCTTTTCACATGGATCCATATTGATCTCACATATTTTTATATGCGTAGAAAATAAAATTATTTCTTAAAATATAAGAAATATTATTCTATATTATTTCCTAAAATATGATATATATATATATATATATATATATATATATATATATGAGATTAGTATTCTCATGTCATATAAGATAATTTTATTTTCTATATATACATAAAAGTGTATGAACCATATTTTCTTTTTCTTCTTTTTATATAGTCTCATATGAGCTTCACATATTTTTATATATGTATAGAAAATAATTTTATCTCTTATTATATAAGAAATATTAATTCATATAGAGTATGTGTTCGAATCTCTCCAGTATCACCTTTGGGATGAATTTAAAGCCTTAATACTGGACCCGTCCCGAATCGAATTAGTTGCGAAGCAATGAACCGATTAAAATATTTCCAAAAAAAAAAAATATATATTAATCCATATATGTATATATTAAAACAAAAAACTGTACGTAGCAGTCGTTGAAAGCGGTAGTGTATCTATATCCAAATTAAATTAAAATTAGGTGGTGAGTTATACTCAAATCAATAGAGGGACCTCATCTGGTCATGATTATTGAAACGTTCAATGGTCTCCCAATGACATTGATTGTCTTGTTGCAACTTATAAAATTTAGAGTAAAGCCTCATTTGAATCTTTAATAAAAAAAATTGATTTTTATTTTAGTTTTTTATAAAAAAAAAAAAATTAGTTGTTTGATTTCTTTGAAATTTAAAATGGATTTATATTAGTTCTTTAAAAGATTAATATGATTTTTTTTGAATTTGTAAAGGACCACAATAATTTCAACTATATAGATTCAATCTAAATTTCTTAAAAATTTCAGGAATAATTTTTTTTTTATAAAAGAATAAGGTGAAAACGTTATTTTTTTGTTAATAACTTCTAAATTTTATCGTTTAACTCAGCATTCATGATAGCAACGTACCAGTGCGTGCGAGCGTCACAAGTCGGTCGAGGTCAGTGAAATGGATGGCTAGCGTGAAAAAGAAGTTCTATAGCTAGCGTCAATAAGTAGAGGTTCCTAAGAACCTAATCCAAACCGGGAATGGATCCTTAAAATTTCATTTCTTCATTAATAATAATTACACTTTACCTAAAGAAATAAATATAAATTTTTTACATAATCAGATTATATAAAATTTTAACATAAATGGATTCATTTCCATATAATTCATGGGTTTAACTTTTCTTATGTTGTAGGATTGTAGGAGAGAAAAAAAGTAGAGAGAAGTTAAATATGGGTCCCATATTTTATATTAAAAAAGAAAAGAAAAATTAATTGGCACGGAAAACGAATTTGTGTAGGAAAATAGGAGTATCTCATGTGGCATGAGAGTATTATTTCCCATAATTCATATATGCATCTTTTCTTCAGCCTACT